CACCCCCACCGCCTCCCAGACTGCTCTCCACCCCAGGTGAGTAAAGGCTCACTCCGTTTCCGGTTTCGCTTTGTGTTCTCTGGGCCCAGAAGGAACCCGTGAGCATGGCAGAGGGCAGCCTCGCTCCCTTTGTAATTTTCCACTGGCCGAGCAGGAGGGGAGCCAAGGCCCAACTTTCCCCTGCTGTCTGCAGAACGCCTTTCCCGCAGAATGCTCCTGCGAGATGGAGAACGATGCTTCTCCATCAGTTAATCAGATAAAAGTCAATCTCCATTTGATGAGTGACTCGGCCTGGATCGTTCTGAAGGCCAGACCTTCAAACAGGGGCGGGCACTGGGCGCTGGTCTTGTATACCCCTGCCACGCACATGGTTTCATTTTTCGATTTTAATTCAGGTTAAAGGAGGCAGTTAGTATAAAAAGGAAGTGGAGGCTCTGGGAGCGAAGTTACACGGTTGCCTTTCGGCCGTTTGCAGAGAACTCAGCTAACCACCCTCTACCCCTCACTTGTTTGCCGTGACTTCATCTATGAACAATTCAATTGCCTGGCCATTGAAACAGAGGAGAGTTTCTTTAGCCAGAAATGGCCTCCATTCTGACCTCTACGGGTTAAGTTCCCTGCTGACAATTGCTGGTTGATAAGATCTCCAACAAGAGGTTTTATAATTTGGATCGATCACTCACATTTCGGCCTGTAGAATGCCCATGATCACGTGTGGATCTCTCCATTAAACACATTTCCATTGAGTTATTTGGGGTCATATTTTAAATAACCTTGACGACGCTCGCTCTCTGGTCGGCTGTGTTTCTGGGCTCTCGGTGTCCAGGCGGTGATGCAATGTTCTCGGGGATCTGTGCAGGTCATGTGCATTTCTGCATTTTGTCTGCTAGGCTACCTGTTTTCGTTCTTACTGACATCTGTGGCCTGGCGCTTCTCGGAGTGGGGTCCTCGATATCGCCTGAAGCATTTGTTTTAAAAGTGCAGCTTTGGGGGCCCACTTCAAACACACCCAGTCAGACTTTGGGGTGGAGCTTAGGAATTGGCTTTATAACAAGTTCTGAGGTGATTCAAACGCAAGGTAAAGAACCTCAGCCTGCCAGGTGCTCTGCTCCGGGCCTTCCATCCCAGGATGCTCACCTCCCACCCTCTCCTAAAGGAATCCCTTGGCTGTGCCGTGGGGTCCGGCCTCAGGCACCTGTCCTTAGAGATCACTCCCCTCCCTTGCTTTAGGATTTCTCCTCCTCCCATTGTTTGGGCTGCAGGCTTGTGCTTGTATCTGATGGACCCACATCCCCCAGTTCAAATCCCTTCAATTCATCTTGTCTTGACTGAGCTTCTGTGCCAGACACAAAGATGAGAGATCCTTCTGGTCTTTTGGGATCTCTTCGTCTCAAAGGGAAAGCCCTCCTGTCAGCAACCCATGAAAAGTGGCCCGAGAAAGCACAGACATTGAAATCCTTGAGTAGCTGGGCCACAATAAACAGTGACATTGACCAGGGTCTTAAAGAATCGATGGGATTGATCTAGGTTGACAAGGAGATTGTGGGGAAAAGCATCCAGGCCGAAGGAACGGCATGGGCAAAGGCTTGGAGGGACAACTCTGTGAGACTTGTCTTGGGGGGTCACAAGCCTTTCAGCTGGTTTAAAGGAGGGGACGAGGCGCAGGCCTCGAAGGGCCTGTGTGCACGGCTGACACGGTCACGTCTCATCCTGGGAGTTGTTGTTTGCCGAACATCATTCGCCATATCCGAAAACCGCCTGTCGTTTGCCTTTTTGTTTTTTCTTTAAATAGACTCTCTTTTGTGGTTACACCAATCCCTTTCCAAAGAAAACTTTACATGACTACTGTCAATGAAAAACCAGTATCATTCGCGTAAATACAAGGTGACCGTAAAAACAAATGCAATAAAAACAAACTGCGTTTTCAAGTTCTAGCCTGCTGTGGAGCTTCTGAGCTCAGGGCCTCACTATCTGTTAAAGCAACCCAAGTAACATTCCATGAATGGCAGCTAATAAGGAATACGAATGACAACAGTAGCAATGAGAATAGTTCAGTGACCTTTAGGTGGGAAGTCACTTAATCACAGCTCTGGCCACCCATCTGCTGAGAAAGAAGCGTCCAGTTAGAAACTCGAGGAGGAAATGGGCTTTTTAAGAATGTGTAGACTCCCCTAGGTTTTCAACAGAAAAGAAACGGTTTTCAGACAGTTTCTTCCCAGGCCTGTGATGCTCGAAGTCAACGAGAGTCCCTGGGGTGAAGGTATTTTTGGAAGGCGTGGGCAGGGGTGAACCCCGACAAAGTCGAGACAAAGTCGTGCTAGGGGGCCTGACCGAAAAGCCCACAGCAGCCACCAGAGCTCAGGATCAGCCGGGGCTTACTTGGTAAATGTCAGCGATGGCCCACTGTCCCCGCCTGTGACTCAGACGGCTGAGGCCGTGGCAGGAGGCGTGTGCCAGCCCTCAAGGAAAAGCACGCACGCCCCCTCTGTGAGACCTGCTTCTGAGGCTGATTGGGCCCAAAATAGCGGTGGCAGAACAGAGGCGTGAGCCCGCATTATCTCCGTAGTGCCTGTCTTTAAGGGGTTCAAAGTGCTGATACAGATTTTATTTTTTGCGTCTATTTTATTCTTAGAAAAATCAAACAAGAGATTAAGTGACTTCTTAAAGGTCACGCAGCGGTGGCGGACCTAGGAACGGGTCGCCTGGTTCCCCTCCTATGTGCCAAGGAACAAGTTTTGACAGAGAAAGAAACAGACGGGACTGTGGAAGTTCTAGAATGCTTTCTGTACTCGCCCAGAACGCGAGGAGGAAGCTGATATTTAGTTTCCGGTGCTTAGAGGTGGAAGCTCTGCTCCCCTCATGTCACTTACTCCTCAAACACTCCTTTGAAGTAGGCGATGTTGGCCCCGGTCTCTGTGAGGAGCCTGGGGCTCAGAGAGGGTGAGCTACTCGTCCCGGACTGCCCAGCTGATGAGGAGGGGAGGTCATTCAAGGCCGCCTGTCGCGTCCTCTGCCTCACTCTTCCCCTCCGACTCTGGAGGCAGCTGCAAGGGTCTCCTTTCCTTCCCTTGGATGGGCCTTGCTCCTTCCTGTCTCAGAGCCTTGACTCATACTACTCCTTGGGTCTGCAAGTCATCCCTTCAAAGCAGTGACCCTTAACTCATGCGGATCTCGTCTCAAATATCCGCCACAAAAACCTCCCCTGACTTTCACAGACGTCACACCTGACTCTCTATGGCTATGGAACAAATCACCCCAAAAGTTAGCGGTTACAAAAACAACACACACGTATTGTCCTTTGCTCTCATGGTTATGGGTGTTCACAGGGCTCCATGAGGAGGTTCTCGCTCGGGGTCTTTCATGTGATTGTCATCAGTTGGCCGCGGCCGGAGCCAACCTGAAGGCTTCCTTGTTCATGTCTGGTGGTTGGGGCTGGCTGTCGGGTGAGTCCCCAGCTGGGCCTGTCTGGCAGAACACCTACCTGCAGTGCCTCCCTGTGGCCAAGGCTTCCTCGCAGCATGGCGGCTGCGTTCCCGGCTCGAGAAGCAGGTGGAAGCTGTACCTCTCTTGATGACATAGCTGAGGAAATGCAGCGTCACTGCCGCCGCATTCTGCTCCTTGGAATCAAGCGACCAAGGCTGCTCACTTGATTCAAGGAGCGGGGAATTCGATTCCACCTCTGGGTAGAGACGCGTCACAGAATTTACGTGCCTTTCAAAATGGACAGACATGCACACACCCTTCGGACTTTTCTTTTTCCTTTACAGCAGTCATCCCACCCTTTAAATATCTAATTAATTATTGACTAATGATCCTTTGTTAGTTACAGATCATTGCTGTGTGTCTGCTGTGTCCGCTGATAGCCCCAGCTCCTTAGCACATGCCCAGCACATCATGGATCCTCAATAGCTACTAATTCATTTCTTTAGCGAAGATTTTTGACTGTCTTCCGTTGTCAGACACTGTGCTAGGTTCTGGGAAGGCAGTGTTGAGCAGGTCAGAAGGGTCTCTGCAGTGATGGAGAGGAGGTGGAGATGTCGTTAGGTTTTGTGGGATGAACGAGCAGACGTCACGAACAGTGCTCCCTCCGCGGTCCTCTCAGGATGTTTGTGAGCTCAGCAACGGGCTGACGAAGCAGACCCCAGTGGTGCCTGGAAAGGCTTAGCAGTGGCTCGAATGTCCCCCCAGCATGTTTTAGCAACTGCCATTTCTTAAGGACACAATCTCAGAGACTTCCCGGAGGTTCTGATCGCTGGTGCTAACCAGATTTTCTTCTGGGTTGTAACAAGTTTGAGGGAAGCAGCAGAGGAGGTTCTCAGAAGCCTCTAAAGCTGAGGGTGTTGGAGCAGGTGAGGCCAACCCTGGGGACCTGTCTTCTCCGAAGGGTGCCGGGCTGCTTATGAAAAGTGAACACCACAGAGCCGTCCTTGCCCAGAGCCAGCCTGTGATGAGGGACTGTGGGCGTCAAACATGGGCCATGTCACTTTGAACATCTCTTGCTTCATGGGCTGTGGTAGTGCCAAGATGGTCCTCACTGTCACCATTGATTTGGACTCAGGGGGTATTAGATATTCATCATTTTCAGAAGGCAGAGCTAATGTCCTATTATCTTTGAGCCATTTGCTTGGTCTGCATATAGGAAAACACTGAGTCTGGTCTTGGCCTGGCTCTCCCCAGCTGGGTGCTGGGTGCTCAGCCTTTATGAGCTTTTGTTTTCTTGTCTGCATATAAGGGATGATGATCCTTCTGAAGGTGGTTGTGAGGGCAGAGTACATGTGAGGGCCAGCCCAGCGCCCGCTACATTCCCACTCAGTAAGCAGGCTCTCCTGTCAATACAGTCCTTGCTTGACTAAATCTCTTACCCAAACTGATCTCAGCTCCCCCATCCATAGAAAGGGCAGGCTCTGCCTTGAATTTCACTCTGTAGTGAGCACAGTGCACTTGTGAGAGAAAGTCTTGTCCCCAGATTTGAGCGTCTGCCATTGTGAGAATTTTAATAGTTGCTGGCTTCCTTGTAAAAAGTGACTTTATAAGTACCGAATTTTCCTTGCCCGATTCAATAAATGGAATTGTTTGTCTTCCATTTATTTGTTTGTATCCAGCAAATAAAAGATTACAGATTTAGGTGGACTTTACTCAACAAACCTTTATTCATTGATTTATTGAACAAACATTTGCCAAGAGGTTGTGGGGTGGCAGGTCCCGGGCTGCAGAGATGAACTGTACATGGCCCTGCCCTCGGGGAGCCTGACCCTGGCCGCATGTCGGCATCCCCTGAGAGCTTGAAAAATGACCGATGCCCAGGCCCACTCCAGAGGGAGGTGATTCTTGTGTGAATCAAGGTGAAGACTCTTGGCTACAACCAGAAACACGAGGCAGGAAGGACTCGGTGCCAAAAGGGAGGAAGAGGTGAGGTACGCTGGAATTGGGGGCCAAAAAGTTGGGGAGACCTGCATGTTGGCAAGTGACCTCCTGGTACCGCCACGGGCACTGGGGTGCCCCGAGAGTTGGGCCAGGCTGGATCCTGGGACCTTGGCATCTTGTGAGGAGTCTGGACTCAACGTTGAGGTGGAAAGTTGAGAAACACACATCTCAGCAAGAGCAAAGCTCCCAGCCCGACATGTACTTCCCGGGCGCTCTCTTTTTTAAAACATTTTTATTGAGGTAACATTCACATTTTAACCATTTTAAAGTATACAGTTCAGTAGCGTTGAGTGTAGTCACGACGTGGTGTAACATCACTATGATCTAATTCCAGAGCTTTTTCATCACCCCAGGAAGAAACCCCACACTGCCCAACACGTCCCCCTCGTCCAGTTCCTGCGACCACTAATCTCCTTCCTGTCCCTGTGAACTTGCTCTTCTGGACATTTCACATAAACCTGGGTGTTTTCCGGCCGCCTGAGCCTCAGTTTCCTCATCTCCTAGTGGGAGCGAAGCCTCCTTCTTCAGGGTTGAGAGGCGGAAGGCAGAGGCGTGTGCAGAGCTGGCCACTGCCCGGCACAGGGCGGGCTCTGGGAGGACGTGGCCCCATCGTGGAAGGCGACCCTGGCTAAAAGGCTTCACCTGCTGCACTGTGATCGAGGGCTGGTTTTGGCACCTTGTAACTCTGGCCTTGTGTGGATGTCATTTCCCTCCTAGGGCTGTTGAGAGGATCAGGCGGGTTCACAGGTGACAGTGCGTACAATGTCGACTGCCATATCATTACAGAACTCATCCAGGACGTCTCGCTTGTGTCTGGGATAAAGCAGTCGTTCTGACCTATTAAGTTTCTGATCCCACCCCTGAGGACCAGGATTGTTGATTCATCTTTGTCCCCTGAGACAGCCCACAGCGTGACACATGGAAAGTTCCTACTAAGTGTCTGGACAAATGAATGCATGAGTAACTAGACAGGGAAGACTGAAGATAAACTCTCCAGGAGAAAGCGGGTAGGGAGGGGACCCACTTTTTTTTAAGAGACTGCCATTTGCAGAACACACAAGAATTGCAGGCTACACACCGCACCACGAGGTCCCAAGTGGAGGCCGGGAGGAGGACCTGACCCAAAGCAGGTGTCCTGCAGGAGGCATGGCTGAGCTGGGGAGAAACGATGCTCCTGGTGAGGGCTGGGAGTGGAGGTGGGGACGGGGGCATGGCAGGGGAAAGGACCGGAGGCCACTGGCACCCTGTCCATCTGCCCCAGGACTGGAAGTGCACAGGACGCACGGGAAGCCAGAGCGGGTTTTTTTTATCTTGGACATGTCACTGGGCAGTGGAGGGTCTGAGCAGAGAGCTAAGTTGCCTTTAGACAGCCCTGGCTGGGGCTGGAGTGGTGGAACACTAAACGCAGAGATCGGGGGGAGGGGGGCCCAGGAAGAGACTGGTGCCTTGAGCCAGGCAGTGGCTGTGAGCAAGGGGGACAGGGGCTCAAGACCAACCGCTGTCGGGGGCTGAGGAACAGGAAGACTGCCAGCTGGCACTGTCTGATCGGCTGCCTCTTGTGGAGCCAGGACATGGAGGGAGTGTGATGGGCTCAGGAGTCCCAGGTTTTGTCACATAGCATGAAAGGTGCCATGAGATGTGCCATGGGACAGCAGGGGAGGCATCGGCTTGTGGATCTGGAGTTTAAGGGCAGAGGCTTGAGCTGGCCCTAAAGATAGGGGGTGGGGGAACCAGTAGCATTGGCGCCAACGGCCCTAGAGATCACCCAGGGAAAGCGTGGGGAGTACACAGCCTGGGGCTCAGGGGGAAGAGGAGCCTGAGAAAGGCAGACAGAGGGGAGGGAGGAAAACCAAGTGGGGGGCGCAGGGAGGCAAGAGAAGGAGCCGAGGACTGTGGGGAGTTCCCGAGATCAGCACCAGGCGCTGGTATCCACCCTCCCGTATCCATTGACCTGCTCCTCCCGGAGTGGAGAAGAAGGAAGGAGGAGGAAGCTTGAAGAGTGAAAACGAAAACACGATTCCCACTTAGGGACCATGGGAAGTCAGGGGGTGATCTAAACCGGTATAATCCGGGGAGGCTGCAGGGAGGAGGCAGAACTCACTGTGCACCCGGAAGGTGGGGAGATGCAGTCGGCCTTAGGAAGATGGGGAGAGATGCAGTCGGCCTTAGGAAGATGGGGAGAGGTGCAGTCGGCCTTAGGAAGATGGGGAGAGATGCAGTCGGCCTTAGGGAGATGGGGAGAGGTGCAGTCGGCCTTAGGGAGATGGGGAGAGGTGCAGTCGGCCTTAGGGAGATGGGGAGAGATGCAGTCGGCCTTAGGAAGATGGGGAGAGATGCAGTCGGCCTTAGGGAGATGGGGAGAGATGCAGTCGGCCTTAGGGAGGGCCAGGAGCAAGGTAAGGCACCTAGCGTGGATGTGGCTGGAAACAACCAAGGTCTGCCAGTGGACAGCCTGGTCAGTGTTGTCACAGGAGTGTGCTGATGGGGGCTCAGAGGCGGAGTCCCCAGGACACTGGGAGCTGCGGCCGGGGGAGACAATGCCAGGCAGATCTTTGTTCATTCAAACCTTTCTTGAGCATATGTACATTTTGGGAGCTTGGGGTACACCGTGAAACGAAATAGACGCAGAGCTGGTATTCTGGTGGGAGAAAGAGGCCAGAAAACAGTAAAGCTGATAAGCCCGTGAGGTGCATAGTTTGCTGGAAGTGGTAAGTGCTGTGAGAAACGGAAGTGGACCAGAGCTCACTGGGGCTGGGCCAGGAGGCAATCAGAAAAGACATCGTTGGAGCAAAGGCTTGCAGGAGATGAGAGAGCCAGACACACTGGTACCTGGGGAGAGCGCAGCCAGGCTGAGGACTGGGACGGGAGCTCGCCTGGGGGTTTGAGGGGTAGCCAGGGGCGAGTGTGGCCGGAGCAGAGTCAGGGGGAGGGTAGGAAATGAGACCGGGGAGATGCAGGGAAGCCCACTGTGAGTGTGTCGTCTGTACTCGACGTCAAGTAGGAGGCCATGCAGGGCTTAGAGCTGAGAGGAGCATCATCTGACTTGCTCCTAATCACTCTGGCTGCTGTGTAGACCCAACCACGGAGGTCAGGGCAGAAGCAGAGAGCAGTTAGGGAGCCCGTAGCAGTAATCCAGGCAAGAGGTGACAGCCACTGGGAGCAGGTGGCCTCAGCGGGATGGTGAAATGGTCAGACTCCTGATGGGAGCCCACTGCACTCCTGATAAGCTGGGTTCCGACGGTGGTATGCTGAGGGACAAGGACAAGGGTCAGAGAGGGACAGCTACACCCTGCAGTTGCTCCAAAGCAAGCAGCAATAATGGGGTCTTCCAGGGATGGTGGGACCCCCGGACAGAGCCGTTCGGTTGCTTGTCCCAGCCGGCCCTTCGATGACCACTCTGACTCAAGCCAGGCACTGATGAAGACTAATGTTGGCATAATTAGAGGGGGAAATGCTTTCTGCATCTGCCGGGTGGGTGATGGGTGTCCCGTACCCAGAGTCCTTCACCACGGTCGCAGTGCTGTGACCAGGCTGTGCAGCCTGGCTCTGCCCCGCCGCCCTCCTGTGGGGGCCGCGGTACTGGTGTTCCCGCAGCTGCCTGCCAGGCATCCTCTGGGGCCCAGGCCGGGCCCAGGACAGAGGCCCATTGTGGAGCGACCCTCCTGGGAGGTCGTTTCCGTGGCTACGGTAAGAAACATGGTGATAGTTTCTGCGAAGTCAATCGATGCTGACAAATGAAATAGAAGAGAATAAAGACGCTAAATATATGCTCGGAAGCAAGAAGTCACTCTTGGTTTCTGCTTTAAAAAAAAAGTTCACAGCCCAAAACTCTTCCAACTTTGTTAGCCAAGAACCAAATGAAACCAGAATCGGGTTCACGGCAGGTGTCCAAGAGGTCCCTTCACTCACTCACTCAACACACGACTGAACACACTCTGCGCCAGATGCTGTGGTGGGAGCTGGGGATGTGGGGTACAGTGGTGATTACAGGGCAGCAGTGGAGACTAAGGAGAGACAGCCCGCCTTGGGCAGGGGGCCAGGGCAGGCCTTTCAAGCTGCCTGACCCTTGAAGGAGAAGGAAGTAGCATTGTGAAGACTAGGCAGAGGGAACAGTATGTGCAAAGTCCCTGCGGTGGGAGCAACTCCCAGGATGTGCTGGGGAGAATGATTGGGGGGACAGTGGTGTGAAATGAGCCTGGGGAGGTTGGTCCCCCCTTACGAAAGGCC